CAGCAGGCAGGATACAGAGGGGGGTCTGGAAATTGGGGTTGGGGGTCATGGATGCCATGTCGGCATGTGTAAATGCGTGCGTATGTGCGTGTTTGTGTGCGTTTTAAAAAGGTGAAATGAGGCACTTCAGCAGCCCTGACCATATGGGGAGGGAAAGGCACGGATCAGTTGTCACCCAGCGGTACATACAACACCCGCCTAACCCGCCCCCCCCACACAACTTCTCTCTCAATGTTGTTCTAGAGGGTCGACATTACACAAGAAAACTGGCTTACAAAACAATGGCATTGTTGAGTGTATAAGTGTTGGCTCCTCCCCTTCCTCCACATAATAAAGCAATTATCACTTGTTCATTACTAACAGCTTAGCCACGTTATCTTGCTCAAATTAAGGTCGCGATGAGTAAACAACAATTAATTAACAATCCTGGAACACTTCAGTCTTTCCAAGGAACTGGCATTCTTTTTATAAATTCACAAAAAGTCTGTTTTCTGTTATTGTATTGATCCAAAACACACAACATGAAGGTCAGAGTGAATTCATTAAGATGAGTGTGTGTGGGGGGGGGGGGGGGAGACAAAGTGTGTCTTCCTTATTCTGGACATTAGTTAATCAAGAAAAACAACAACAATTCAAAACTAAATTTAAAAAAAAAATACTTACTATTCAAAGTGATTGAGGTGTGTGCATGTAAACTTTAAATAAACCCTGAAAGACTATTCTGTTGGCGAGAGGTTGATACGGTGGCATGCTAAACTCAGTTAGCGGTCTGTACACGCAAAGACACACACACACCTTGATCTTCCGCTGGATGTGTCTGAGAGCGTCTGCGGTGCCCATGTCTCCGTCTTCCTGGATGCAAACCACGTCCAGTTTCATCTTCACGTCCTTCATTTTAGGGTCTGTGCCCATCATCCTTTGGACCTCTTTGGTGGTGATCACGATCACCTCTGAAAACACAGGTCACAGAAAATCAGTATGAAGACCTCAGCAGATCGCTGCAACAATGTCAAGGTAACTCTGCAGTGCTCCAGGATTGTCTTTTAAGTTAAGCGCTCCTTTCTTGCACATAAGCGTTGCATCACTGCGCCTAAAATCTTTTTCTCACTGAAATTCATTTTTAAAAAACGTACACGTCTTCAGAAAGCAATAAAACACGTCATGCTGCCCACTAAAGCCTGATGTCCAATATAGTTTGCTCCTAAAACAAAGTCAAATCTTTACGATGGTTATGACATTTCTTAAAAACTTCCCTCGACCTCTATTTTTGAGGGAAAAAATAAATAGTAAAAATGACGGTCTTCCTCTCTGATCCTTAATTGAATGAGAGACGCCATCTGGACCTACAGCTTTAGGTGAACCTAAATGTTAATCCCTGCTCACACAGATCTGATAACGCAACACCTTAAATTGGTACAAAGATCTAGTCCATTTGCCTATAATACATCCTAAACATTACATCAGGCTAAGACCACTGCTCCCTTGTATTTATAAAGTTGGTGATAACATTAAAAGACCACTTTGTGAATTTGGAACATTGCAGAGTCCGTCTGCTTTAATTTGCCTTGTCTGCATAAAATGTTTTCTACCGGGCATTTGTTCACTCTAGCTGTGTCAGCCTAGTAAAAGCAAATTGCAGGGCTTTGGCTAGCTGGCTGCACACAGTAAACTGCTGGCCACACAGGATGATTATGTATAGAAACCTAGTTTTATTTAGGGTAGTGAGGACCTACAGGCTTTTTATAACAAACAGCCCTGTTTACTGGCAAGAACAGCATACTGCAACAAATCCCTTAATAAGCCCAGAGGTTGAGGACCTACTGCCTGCTGCAGCACAAGAGGCGAACAATCGAGACAGGAAATGCACACCTGACACAGGCTGATGATGTGTGATGACAAGCTGGTGAAATTATGACTGGAAAAAGCAGCAGAGTTGTAAACTTGTTAAATGCAGCAAAAGGAGCAAAGTTGCTGAGAGCACTCGCGTCTTCTGTATCGGTACCAAACAGAAAAGCTACCCAATTGGTAATTAAAATTAAAAATTTAAGTTTGTCTGATCTTCTCAGTCAACTTGTCTTATATCACAGGGAAATATGCAACAATATCGGTCTTATTTAAGTATCTTAGAAACATTTGCTCTCAAAAAAAAAAAAAATGTAAATATGTAAAAGGGACAGCCATTTTTACTTGGGGTTTTAAACCAGTAATTTTACCGATACAATACTTGTGTTTAAACAGAAAACAATAGGAGTAGAATTACATTCAAATCAACGTGGCAGGACGGTAAGTGAAGCGGACATTTTTATACTTTTGCAATTGCAAACAATGTAGTTTTGGCTCCGGAGAGGTACAAGCTTTTTATTTATCCCCAGCGAACTACGACAACATTTCACGGACCCACTGACTTGTGTTGTTGTCACCATAACAACTAACAACAATCACCATTTTATTTTATACTTGTCAAATGACCACGGTGTCTGTTCTACTCCTATTCTATTTCTATGGTTTAAAATGAAAAACTTACGGTCCTTGAGTTTGAACAGGAGGTGATCTTTTCTCTTCAAGTTCCTCTTTCTCCATATTAACGCTGAAATGATGTTTGCACATTTTTTCATTCCAGGTCTTCCAAGAGGGCCACATAAACGTACAGTAGAAGTACGGGCTGTATTTCTGCTTCTTTACAGTTTATGTGGAAACCAACCAAGAATGCCAACGCTCTCCTGTAACACTTTCCGACCCCATCACACAGTCTGGATGGAGGGCCACAACCATCCGATCCAATTAATCTGAGGCTCTGACGAGGAAATGTTACATTACCAGAGCACATCGTTTCTAAAAGCCATCTTTTATCATGTAAATCATGTGAAGGATGAAATACAAATTATGCTCACATTCCATAATGAGGACAAAAAGTAAGACTGAGAGCGAAAGACAAACTATTTCTTTTTTTTAAATTATTATTTTAACTTTTTTCCTGCACCCCGACACAGGTGTTTTCAATTACTCTGGCTGATTAGACCTCTGGTCAGGTTGAAGGAGGGCAGGTCAATAAAGATGTCCCGCACTAAATGGTGCTACAAAAGTAAAAAGGACGGTGAGGTAGTAGTCAATCAAGCACAGTCCTGAGAAGAGGACTAATTAGGCAACATCATGTCTAATTGAGTATTTTTTGGCGTAGTGACATTTTTAGGACAGCATCCTTAGACCTGCTGATAACATGAACCTTCTCATAGTATTTATTAGTAGTGGGAGCAGTAATTGAGGCAGCTGTAGCAGTAATAGGGATATCAGATGTGGCCGTTTCTGTAGAAGAAGTACTTGGAGCTCTCACCTTCAAAGCCCACCCTCTCCAGCAGGTTCAGCGGGTACCACATGAGGGGCTTGTTGCCCACAGGCAGCATTGGTTTGGGGGTGTTGTATGTCAGATCTGGCATGCGAGAACCCCCACCAGCCGCCATCAACACCGCCTGGAGCTCCATGATGTTCGCTGGGGAGAGCTAAAAGAGAGGGACAAACAGATAGATTAATAGTATATCCATGTAAACTGAAAACCTACCACAACTCAGATTAATATGTGTTAATGTGTATTCACATAGAGGCTTGTATGCGCCTAAGTGGCCCTGGGAAAGTTTTGATGAGGCAGCTCTGAGGGTCAGTATCTTACCAAAGCCTTATTACACCTGCTGGTAATGAATTCAACAAGTCATTGTTGGTGACTTGGCACTAAAGCTAAATTAATATTACACACTGAAGAAGGTGCAAATAGTTTTTTTCTTTACATTCACATGATCAAAATACAAAACACATGGTACACTCTCTAAAAGTATGCTTTTTTTAAATTTCCGACAAGCAAGTATGCCAGTTTCAACACAGCATGTAGTCATAACACATTATAATACAGCGCTATTACAAACAGTTTACTGTATGTTGTACTGTGAAGGCATATCTCTCGCATATATGTCACATAAATCATAAGGCAAGCGGCATTTCTTTCTACGTTATGTCAAAATTAAACTTACACTTATCTTGATATAACTAACGTTACCGGTACACTGGCATTATACTGTCAAGGCACACTTCCAGCTAAATCTACAAAAGGGCATCAACAAAGAGGCGACATTCTCATGCTGACTCGCTCAGTGGTTAATAATTGAGTCTAAATGTAACGTTACCTGTCAGTGATCCCTATTAATGTGCAGCTGCTTGAAATGACAGCAACGGTCGACGCGTGTAAAGTTGGCTGCTGTCACTGTTGTTAGCACTTAGCTAACAATTAGCACAGAGCAGCAAACCGATACCGCTGCTGCACCGACAGCTCGCGAGCAGCTGGACACGTCCGCTGAACAGCAAACACCCACTCGGGCAAGCGTGGTTGGGCAGAAGTTAAATTACTCGTTCAACTATTTGACAGAGCTTACGTGAAATGAGCTAGCAGCTAGCATCGAATGATGACACCTGGGTGCTTTCAGTGAAATGCGTCCGTGTAGGAAACTACTTCCTCCAAGAAGTGGTTCCTACAGAGAAGTGATTATTTGCATTTTAAAACAACTTCATATTCCACACTAGTGAAAATTTGTCCTTGACTTTAAATACCCCAAGTGAAGAAAATGTACTTAAAGTAGAGTAAAAGTACTCATTTGGCAGAATGGCCCCTATTATTGAATCAATATTAATTTAAAGTCTCAGTCTGCAAAGTTGTAACTATAATATGTATTGTAGAGTATTAACTGTACTATTAAATATTTAATTTAGTGTTCCAGTTCCTAGTCAAGTATATATATTTTAAAAAAGAGAGAAGCACTTTCTTTATGCTGCAATGCTAAAAAACCACCAAATATAAGCTCAGTAAAAGTAAAATACAATTTAGCATCATGGTGGTAAAACATACACCATTTATATGATAGGCTTATCATCCATTTACACAACCACCTAAGAAAGTAACCATAATAATAACAACAACAATACTACTTCTACTACTATTAATAATCATCATTATCATAATCATATTAACAGAAAAGGTGTTGACTGAACATGGAGTTATTGACAAGATTCATGCATTTGACAAGTTGCTGTTATTAATGTTGTTAACATTTTTACACACATTTTTATAAGTCACGTTTCTGGTGATTTTTCAGTTGCTGAAACTGAATGACTACTTTAAAAACAAAAAAAAGCCTTAAATACACATGCAATTTTTTTGTCCTCTATACCATATAGTACAACCAATTCCTTGGGTACACACACACACACACACACACACACACACACACACACACACACACAAAAAGTGGTGTGAGCCGATTAGCAGCCAGAAGCCACCCAGCTCCTCCAGACTTCAAGCTTGAAAACTCCCAATTCACAGAGCTGAGACGTAACAGCAAATTGAGCTCCGGGAATGTGGCTTTGGTTTTGTTTGCTCTGGCCGGGAGATGAGCTTCACTGCTCGCTGCTGCTTGCGCAAAAACTAGAAGAGCGAGAGAAAGGAGGGAAGAAGGAGACAGACAAAAAGAGAGAAGGAGACAAACAAGCATGTCAGTCTGTTGTTGCCTGAATGACAGAATAATGAAATAAGATAATAATGGAAAGAGGAAGCCTGGAGGGTTGAAATGTTGAAGGAAGAAGAGAGAGGAATTGAAAAAAAGGTAAAAAAAAGACAGGTTACTGGAAAAGGGGGTCCCTAAGTAATGAGGAGAAAAGAGTCAGAGGTGAGAAGAGCTGAGGAGGAGGCAAACAGCTGGGAGAGGAGTGATCGAACGATAGAGAAAAGAAAGAAGAGGAAAGGAACAGACATAGACATAAAAATAAATGTACAGACAGAGAGACATAGAGGGTTTTTATTGTAAGATGTCACAAACAATGGTGACATGCTCATACTTCCCTCACATTTTGGTCATCGTGTTTACAGCTGATGATGAGTTAAGTCATACACTGATTCGACACATGCTCAGCTTGAGTTCTTTTAGGCGTGAAGGCATGCTTATCGCTCAATATGTAGTAAAGTCAGTAGTAAAGCTGTGTGTGTGTAGACAACAACATACACTGGAGAACAAATGTATTACAACAACAACAAAAAAATCCACAATGGCTATATTTAAATGGGCCAAAACAATGTAGTTATAATTCAAATTTCTTAAATTTAGACCTTGGAGAAAAAAAATCTCAGCTCATTGCTAAAAGTTGCTAAAAGTTAAGGACTTATCATTTATTTTTTGACTATAAGTGCTTTATTGACAAAACAGAGATGGAGGTTAGGCCAGACAGATAGTATCAGATTGTGGATACTCCATTGATGATAAAGCACTTCTCTGGTGCTACATTTAAATAGGAAGCTCAGCAATTTAGTAATGCATTTTTTGGGGGGGGGCATTACAAAAAGAATGGTCTAAAAAAGCAGCAGAGGCTAAGATGTCCGGGATCAAGCTCATAAAACATTGCATCCCCTATTTTCCATAATTTGACCAATAGCAGTGTCTTTCAAAACATACATCTTCAGTTTGTTATGCAGGCTTTCTGTTAAAAATGTGGACCTCAAGCCAAAACTTAGATAACTTCTTTATTTTCTCAGACTGAAGCTCTTTCATGGCAATGGAAGACATCGACAAATATTTTCATGGCCGGATAATAAATTAACCTTTTATGTGTTAAATCAGTAGATTCTCCAGTAAATGTTCTGCTTTTTTTTTGAAACATGAAAGATCACTAGAACTTGTCGTCTGCACAGTCTGGGACATTTTTGGGGTTATTTTGATTGGTATCTTTTCAAAAATAATTCTTGAATAACTTATTTATTCATGTGTGATTTGTAGTGTTAGGACAGTGTAGCCTTGTGTCCCTCACTGTAGACATAAACTTGATTTAAGGAGGATTAAACACACTAACTTACTCTAAAATCTAAATCAAGCCATCTAATGTAAAATTGTGATATAGGAGATGAAAAAATCATTTCCCAATGCAACTTGAAAAATGTAAATTAAAAGTCCTTTTAGATAAAATTTGTCATAATCAAGTATGAAAAAATGTATCTGACAAATATTGGTATTTTAAATGAACTTATATTACATTTCTATACAAGAGGTAATACTTTCCAATATATGCTCAAGCTACAAAAGCTCCTCTATCTTTTCCTGTCTTTTCCTCTTTACCCGCCCGCTTTACAAGATGTTGTGAGTGTGCAGGTGGATTCCTCTCTCTTTATAAAAAGGGGGATCTGGTAAAAAACAAGCAAAGCTCCAATAAAAGTCAACCTAAAAACCACTAACACTCACAGAGATTACTGCCTGTCAGGGTTACCACAGAGCGCTGATGTGTGCAAGACATTCCACATAACTTAACTGGAGAACTGGGCCTCAGTTTACCGGTGTCACTGAAAGCTCACGTGACGAGATGCAAACATGTCTGCGAAAGATACAAAAGGCGGATGTCTTTTCTTCTTTTCACAAGAAAAAAAAGGAGGCCATGCCAGCAAATGCTGCCACAGTATCATCCTTTCCAGTCACCTTGTCCTGCACATGGCATGTTCATTAGAAGAAAATAATTGATTGTTATCAAGATTTTTTTTTTCTCGCTTTTTTGTGGGAAATTAGAAAAGGAAAAAGAAAAGAAGCTGAGAACGAGGTTGAGAGCCTTCACAGGCAATTGACAATCCACTGATCCCTTGTGTTTTGCATATCGTCAAAGCCCAGCTAATTTCTCAAATAAAGACATCCGTCTCAGCAATGAGTGGGGGGTGGGGGGGGGGGGGGGCAAATAAAAAAAGACAGAAACACACAGAATGCCACAGCTCTGAGATGGAAACAGATGGAGATAGGCGTGAGAGCAGACTCAGAGACAACTGTGCAAGGTCTCGTCACGGAGTGACTTGAAATGGAGCCCTAAGATTTCCTCTGATTTCCTCCACCCTTCTTGGCCCCGTTGCTGCATCTTGTAAATCATTCTCAATTCACTGAAACAAGCCAGTTGGATTAGCTTGGTTTAGATCATAAACATTTGCAGCGCAGACCACCCAGGGAGAGAGCACAGCCACGGCAAGAGTGTGTGTGTGTGAGCCTCCCTTCGAGTTTAGAGGTGGGTACTACAGCACACACACACACACACACACACTCAAATGTGGTCTCTCACACACACACACACACACACACACACACACACACATACACACACACAGACATACTTGTACTGTGGTTTGTGTTTGCGCCACTTCCAGGACCAGTGCACTGTGGGGCCCTCACCGCTGCTGTGGAAACCAAAACAGGCCCGTTCAGCCAATGTCAGAGATTAACACACACAAGATAAAGATGTCTCGCTGCACTGCTGCTTAACAATGCTACAGATATTGCTTTTGTTCTGGTACATGTACATGCTTTTAATTACAGTGAAAGCATTTTCCTTCATTGTTTATGAAGATACAGCCTTTTGTTTTGTAATTTTTCAACCAAATTGTCTAATTGGAACAAAAGCCCCAAAATCAAATATATTGTTCACCGTCACTTCTCGAAAGCAGCTGCAAGATGTTACGTGTCATCAACCCAAACAACTGGGATGCAAAGCATGTTTTCCAAGGGGCTTTCACAAATAAATGCTTTTTTTTTCTTTTTTCTTCAAAAAGTTCAACAGTCTGCGTCACCAGACCTTGAAATTCATACATTTTTCACTTGAACACAGTTGGAGTAATTCTTCTCTTGTTTCTCTCCACATGTAATAGAGATCTGAGAGCCAAGCTGGTGTCAGAACCAGAAAATATCTGGGCTGGGTTTTGAAGAGTCAGAGAGGGAAATGCTGGGCAACTCCCTGCTGCAAGGCGCTGGTGCACTTTCCTCTGTGAGCTGCTTGTCTGTCTGAATGACTTTCTAACCATGTGTGTCTGTTGTCTTTTCATTTAACTTACTCTCTGTTCAGTTGCTTCAGTTGCCAGTTTTGTCTGTCTCACTGCCATTCATTTTTACGTTACCTGATATGATGCTTTTCTCAAGAAAGAGTTGGGATCATCTTGTGTTGGAGGACAGCACATTTGTATATTCCAAAGCCGTTGTTTTGAGAGAGTAGTGTCTCTTGTGCAACGGAGTCAAGCTTGAGGTGTTACAAAAAGTATATTTGAAAACCCATTTCTTGCAAAATGGGTTTTCATCTTATAATCAGGCTTGTTCTTCTCTATGTGTCTGGTTTTATATATATGTGTGCTTAATGCAGATGTAAGTGCTGTTGCTTTATTGATATATTTCGCAATGTGAAAAGTTTGTCGTAGGGAAAGACAAATATACGGAATAAGGAACAATATAGGATATAGGATAGAAGAAATAAAGAAAAGAAAAGACAGAAGTAAGAGAAAGGAATCCCATCGTGGTTTGACCACACATTCCCAACAGCAGCGTCCCTGTCTTCAGCGTGTGTGTGTGTGTGTGTGTGTGTGTGTGTGTGTGTGTGTGTGTGTGTGTGTGTGTGTGTGTACATGTTTGCCCTGTGTGGTTAAGGG